ATGAGCCTCCTCTGTGCATATCTATCTCTGTGTCCAAATGTTTGTTTTTTTAAGGACGCCAGTCATACTGGACTGGGGCCCACCGTAAGTATCTTACTTTAACTGGACAACCTCTGTAAAGAACTTATTTTCAAAAAGGTCATATGGTGAGGTACTAGTTTTTAGGACTTCAATGTATCTGTTTGGGGGAGAAGAGGGGACACAATTCATCATATAACACATATTTTTGTTCCTCTCTTCTAAAGATGCTCTTCCCTCTAGCTCTCACTCTTCCTCAGTTAATGCCTACCATTTCTTAAAATTGCATCTCAGTGTAACCTCCTCTTGGAAGCCTCCTTGACCTCTGCCCCCAGGCAGGACCACCACAGATACGCACAAATCTGGAGGGATGACCAGCAGCTCTCATAAGCTCCATATCAGTGCCACTCAGAATGTGGCTAGAAACTTCACAGTGATTTGACATTGTGCAGTCAGAAGGCTTTTATTGTGTTTGTTTTTAATTTCATTTTCCTATGTATTTATGTTTATGGATGGTGTGGCCTGAATTGTTGCTCAGTCACTCAGTCGTGTCAGATTCTTTACAACCCCATGGACCACAACATGTCAGAGTTCCCTGTCCTTCATCATTTCTGGAGCTTATTCAAACTCATGTCCATTGAGTCAGTGATGCCATGCAACCATCTCATCCTCTGCCATCCCCTTTTCCTCCTACCTTCAATCTTTCTAACCAGCAGGGTCTTTAAAAAATTACATGTACTGATGAGACAGCTAAAACAACTGTAAAACTTAAGACAACAGAGACTTTAAAAGAGACTACTTGGCCTCTTTCTTTCTTCCCTGTCCTTCTCCATCCAACTGTTTTCAGAAGCAAACAAAGTGGGATGTGAGAGGGTAGTCACATCCCAGACCTCAGGCACATCCCTGGACACATCCCAAGTGTGTGTTCCTAGTATCATGTAGGAAAGAATTCAAGAATAAGCCATAGTAAAGCAAAAGAAGGTTTATTCAGGGAGATACACACCCCATAGACAGAGTGTGGGCCATCTCAGATGTAAGAGGTACCAGGGGGCAACGTTATCAGTTTCTTATAGGGTGGATAAATTCATAGGTTAACGAGTGAGAGGAGTATTCCAGTTATTTTAGGAAGGGGCAGAGATTGCCATGAATTGGGGCCAATGCCCACTCTTTGACCTTTATGGTCACCCTTGGAACTGTCATGGTGCCTGTGGGTGTGTCATTTACCAGATGATGTATTACAATGAGTGTATACTGTGGCTCACGGTCTAGTGGAAGTTGACTTGTCCACCATTTTGGGCCCAGCTGGTTCTAGCCAGTTTGTGTTGTGTCTTCAACGTCTAAGTCATTTTTTAAAAAGTTGTTCCCTGCCGAGTTTCTGCCTCACAGCCTCTCAGAACGAGCAATTCTCTGAATGTGCTGTATTCTTTTTTCCTCTGCCTGGTCCATAAGCTATTTCTACTCCTGAAAAACTGATCTCATCACCTGGAAATTAGTTCTATAAAGCAGTCAGTTTTGCCTCCTCCAGGAAGCTGTACCTGATACCCAAGGCCTAAGATCACAGGGCCCTTCCATTCTCTTTAAGCCTCAGGCTGGAAGCAAGTACTCAGAGTTGGGGTTCAGGGTGGGCCATCCCCAAATCTGTCACAATGCCATATTGGACTTGCTTGAGAAGCAGATAATGCAAGTAGGAAGTTCTGACTGCTGTCTCCCTGAAAAGCAAGAAATGAATCTCTTCTGGGAAAGGTGCACTCCCTCCATCTGGAGGTCGGAGGAAACCCTTATCATCAGAGACAGGGAATTCATAGCTGAGAAGCCTGTGTAGACAAATCTTGTTACTTATTTGAATTTACTACCCCAAGCCCAAACTCTGCTCAGGCTTTCCAGGTAGCTCAGTGGTAAAGAATCTGCTTGACAATTCAGGATATGCTGGAGATGTAGGTTCAATCCCTGAGCTGGGACAATCCCCTAGAGAAGGAAATGGCAACCCTTTCAATATTCTTGCCTGGGAAATCCCACGGACAGAGGAGCCTTGTGGGCTTCAGTCCATGGGGTTGGAAAGAGTTGGACACAACTAAGCAACTAAACAACAACAAAACAGAACTATTCAGATTCATCATTATTACTAATTAAGCACCCAAAACCTAAATTTCTTTGCACTAACATTCCTCACAAATTTATTATTTCTTTGGCTAAATATTGTGAAAGTTGCCTAATTTGGCCACTTCTTAATTCTTATTTCCATGAGATTCCATTCATGTGAATTAAAATTTGTTTCCTTCTCTCCTGTGAATATATGTTCTGCCAGTTTTATTATTAGCCTAACTGTAAGAACTCAAGAAGAGAGGAAAGGGAATTTTTCCCCTTCCCTGACATCAGTAACTGAAGGGCTGTGGTAAGAGACCCGAAAGATTGAAGGTCCCTTATAGACAGCAGGGTACTCGGCTGGAATTTCTTACTACTGTCTGAGGTCAGGATAGGCCCCAACCGGGCAAGATGCTGAGATGGCAGGTGAGAGCCAGTTGGCCCCATCGGAAACCTGCCAGCCAAGGAGGGTCTGATTAGTGACAAGCTATCAATTTCCTAGAGAAGCACTTTTAAAAAGTACTTCCTGAAAACTGAAAGACCACACTCTCATCTGCACTCCCAATCTGATTTCTCTAATTTCCACAAGAAAACACACACACACACACACACACACACACACACACACACACAAAATCAGAGGTGTTTTGGGGAGTGCTTAATTTTCTTGAGCAATGACTTTGTGCTGAACTGTGAGACTATGTAATCCCTTTGCAACTAACTTCTGTGTCTTTGCCCCTCTCTCCACACCTCCCGGCTTAGGCTTAATTCCATCTCACAGAACCAAAGCTAGAAACTAAAATCAGACTAGCACCAAGTAAAGTGTCACAGTAGAGTCTGTGTACCCTTTGTGTGCCTGAGGAGGCAGTTGTAGAGAGGACACTGGTAACCTTTTCCAAACCTGCCACTTGTCTGGGAAACCAGCAGGGCTGGCTAGGGTGAGTGCTAATGAATGCTGGAAAAACCAAGCTCGCCCAGCAGAACACATACCAAATCAGAGGGCACCGGACATCTTGGGCTCGGATGAAACCAATGAGACAATTTTCTATCAAAAAGGACTGGATTCAATAAAATTAGAGTGAGGTAGGCTTTGTCAGCCATGGTTCCCAGGGACTGGAAAGTGCTGAGTCACTATGGGTCTGGTCTCAGCTTGCAGAGCTGAATCCTCGTGCCAATCCTGGGAACAAAACTGTGGCTTCCTCAAGTCAGCAGATAACATCACGCCATTCTTCTTGATTTTGTAAGGCAGACTCAGCTTTTAGGCGGTACATTTACTGTTATATGAGCTTCCCTGGTGGCTCAGATGGGTTCAATCCCTGAGTCGGAAAGGTCCCCTGAAGAAGGTAATGGCGAACCCACTCCAGTATTCCTGCCTGGAGAATTCTATGGACAAAGGAGCCTGGGACCCAGTACCCAGGTATCTAATCCAAGTCTCCTGCATTGACAGGTGGACTCTTTACCACTGAGCCACCAGGGAAGGAGTTGGGACCAGGCATGTGAGTCCATGGGGATCTGGTTTAGAAAACTGTCAGAGAAGATGGCAGAGGAATAGGACGGGGAGACCACTTTCTCCCCCACAAATTCATCCAAAGATCATTTGAACGCTGAGCAAACTCCACAAAACAACTTCTGATCGCTAGCAGAGGACATCAGCCACCCAGAAAAGCAGCTCATTGTCTTTGAAAGGAGGTAGGACAAAATATAATAGATAACTGTCAGAGAGAAAAGATTCTGGCAGTGCAAGTGACTAAAGGTGAAAGCCTTATTGGCTTGAGTCATGCCGGTAATGAAGGAGGAAACAGACAGAACAGGCTCCATCTTGAAAGCAGGACTCCATCTTGGGCCGGACTGTGGACTTTGAGCTCTATGCCCAGTACCTATGGAAATGACATACCAACTGGAAAACCAGGCCCCCTGGACAGAAGAGCCTGAGGGCTCGTACCTAGACTCTCCGTTGCCTAAAAGAATACCCTAATTATCTATGTAACTGAATAGAATCATACATTCTATTATGCTTATTGGGGTATGACCACAGGCCTCTTGATAACTGTCCACTGTTAACTACCTAGGCTTAAGGCATATGAATCATGGGTTAACTTTGATTGTATCATCTTTCCCTTTGTTCAGACTAGTTTCAGGGAATTTGGGGAGGTGGGTTTGGGCACATATACTTAGGGTATATAAGGTTTTCAGAAAAACAGGTCAGGGTCCTTGGCTAAGAGGAGACTCTGCCTTGGGCCCGCCGGTGTAATAAACTGCACTCCACTATCTGCATTGTCCTTCTGAGTGAGTTTGTTTCCTGGAACATGTGGCTACAACATTTAGTGCATTGGCCGGGAAACTCCTCAATTTGAGGCGACAAGTCCCATTTGGGACTACTCCGAGGCCTTGCAGCTCGAATCTTCTAGAGAGGGGAAGGCGCCTCGCCCTTCTGGAAGGATTCTGCTTCTCAATGCCCAGACCTTTCACGTTAGCAGGTAGTGGACGGCAGCAGGGGAACTGAGCACTCAGGTGAGGAGGAACCCACCCGGTAGGGTGGAAGAGGGGGCCTGATCACCCCCCTGGGAGAGATTAAAAGGGGCACAGACCCACAGGAGCCTGGAATAGGCAGATGGCAATGATTGCTTGGAACACAGGTTGACGAGCATGTTAGCACTTAGGAAGGAAATTTGTGAAGGTCATTTAGGAGATGGTGTTCACGCCGTCGGGGAAAATTATTACCAAGCATTGCCCGGGGATTTTTAGGAGAAGAAACTTGGTTTTTGTGTGCTCGTATTCTGCCCACCCCAAGGAGGTGTTCCATCTGCTGTGAAGTTCTTGACCCCCTCGGAACTGTCAGGCTAGAAGGAGGGGTATACATAAGTGAGTACGAATTGGCTTTTCCGGAGACGGCCCGAGACATGGGATATTTAACCCATCTGTATTTTCATCTGCACCTGATCAAGCCCACCAAGGCAGAATGGACTTTAAAAGTTAAGGGAGGAACAGTCTTGGACCACGTGGTGTTCTGGTTCGGCTGTGCTGACCGGCAGGTGAAGACACGCCGACCCCCCTTCTCCCTCTGCGATCTGGCAGGTAAGGCTCTTCTCACCCCAGTTAGGAAGGAGGCAGAATGGCAACTTAAGTGTCACTGAGAGGAAATATCAGAAGTACATAGGGTATGGAGAACTTTGCAGAGAGAACGAAAACGATAAGTAGAAGAAGGTCTGAGGAGGTAAGCAAGATAAGGGGAAGTGAATCTAAGCAACTATACTGGAGTGCATGATTAAAAATTTAAAGAAGGGATTTGGAAAAAAAAAAAAAAAGAAGGGATTTGGAGGAGACTACGGGGTGAAGATGAAGCCTGACCGCCTCCACATACTCTGTGAGGTCGAACGGCCCTATGGGAGTAGGATGGCCACCAACACCATGAACTTAAAAATAGTGGAAGCCCCCTGGTATGATTCCGTCCTGCGCGGCTGCTTGTTCGACTAGCAGTCATTTAATTCCGTCCGGCTTCCCTCCCACATAAGTGCGTGCCGCCAACCCATGGAGGATTCAATGGACATGGACATGAGCCCCTTGAGGCCCCAGAACTATCTTTTTGGTTGTGAACTAAAGGCTGACAGAGATTATCACTTCAAGGAGGAGAATGATGAAAACGAGTATCAGTTATCTTTAAGAACGGTCAGTTTAGGGGCTGGAGCAAAGGATGAGTTACACGTTGTTGAATCAGAGGCGATGAATTATGAAGGCAGTCCAATCAAAATAACACTGGCAACTTTAAAAATGTCTGTACAGCCAACGGTTTCTCTTGGGGGCTTTGAAATTACACCACCTGTGGTCTTATAGTTGAAGTGTGGTTCAGGGCCTGTGCATATCAGTGGACAGCACTTAGTAGCTGTGGAGGAAGATGCAGAGTCAGAAGATGAAGAGGAGGAGGATGTGAAACTCCTAAGTATATCTGGAAAGCGTTCTGCCCCTGGAAGTGGTAGCAAGTTTCCCCAGAAAAAAGTAAAGCTTGCTGCTGATGAAGATGACGATGATGATGAAGATGAAATGATGATGATGATGAAGATTTTGATGAGGAAGTTGAAGAAAAAGCTCCAGTAAAGAAATCTGTACAAGATACTCCAGCCAAAAATGCACAAAAATCGAACCAAAATGGAAAAGACTCAAAACCATCAACACCAAGATCAAAAGGTCAAGAATCCTTCAAAAAACAGGAAAAAAGACTTAAAACACCGAAAGGACCTAGCTCTGTAGAAGACATTAAAGCAAAAATGCAAGCAAGTATAGGGAAAGGTGGTTCCCTTCCCAAAGTGGAAACCAAGTTTATCAATTATGTGAAGAGTTGTTTCCGGATAACTGACCAGGAGGCTATTCAAGATCTCTGGCAGTGGAGGAAGTCTCTTTAAGAAAATAGTTTAAACAGTTAAAAATTTTCTGTATTATTTCATTTCTATAACAGGTGATATCTGGCTGTCCTTTTTATAATGCAGTGAGAACTTTCCCTACTGTGTCTGATAAATGTTGTCCACATTCCATTGCCAAGAATGTGTTGCCCAAGATGCCTGTTCAGTTTTTAAAGATGAAACTCCACCCTTTTCTTGGTTTTAAGTATGTATGGAATGTTATGATAGGAATAGTAGTAGTGGTGGTCAGACAGATGGAAATGGTGGGGAGACAAAAATATACATGTGAAATAAGCTCAGTATTTTAATAAAAAAAAAAGTGGAAGCAGTCTATACAGTAGTCACAGGAGAACCAGGACACCTGGATCAATATCCATATATTGACTCATGGCTAGGGTTAGCTCAAGACCCTCGTACTTGGACAAGGTTCTGTATCCAGAAGGGAAAGGGGAAAATATTAATGGCACAAAATTGACTGATGATAGAAAAGGAAATTCTACAGGATTTGGATGGGGATGACCTGACCCCTCCCCCATACTGGATAATGACGCGCCTGCCTCCCAATGCTCCACCAGGACCAGAGGCCGCCTTCATGCCCGATCCAGGGCCAGGTGAAGTTCCTGCAGCAGCCACTGCTCTTCCACCAGCTCTCCGGGAGTTCGTAGAGCCGCTGTTTCGGCAGGCTCCAATCCCAGCAATGGAGACCTCTGGTCAGCACCCCCAGAATTCCACTTCAGCTGGACCTCCTAGATTGTATCCACCTCTCCCGGTGAGTACTGATGGGAAGGGGGAAGGAAACACAGCAATTAGACAGAGGCTGTGCTCCGCCAAGAAACAGGGGGAAAGAACCCCACTACAGATGCCCCTCAGAGAGCTACAACAGCCTCCAGTTCAGGACGCATGGGGCACTAGTATCAGCCCCCTGTAGCCTGTTATTACCAGCCATTTTCCTCTACGGATATATTAAACTGGCAGAGATATGCTCCACCATACTCGGGGGAGCCACAAGCCATGATTAGGCTAATGGAGACTATTTTTCAAACCCACCGCCCTACATGGGATGACACAATCCAACTACTAGTCTCCCTTTTCAGTACTGAGGAAGGACACAGGATCCTAACTGAGGCCAGAAAATGGTTCAGAGAAATGGTGCCTGAGGGCACTGCAAACCCGCTGCGGTGGGCAGAACCAGCCACCTCCGATGAGGGGCCCAACTGGGGCTGTAACACAGAGGAAGGGAGGGTCCACCTGGGGAGATATCGGGCGGCTACTTTACAAGGTCTGAAGAGGGGGGCCCGAAAAGCTATGAGTATCTCAAAACCCTCCGCAGTGATTCAAAGGGAAAGCGAATCACCCTGAGTTCTGCAAAAGACTGTGTGAGGCCTATAAACTTTATACGCCAATAGACCCAGCCAGAGATTGCTGGGTCTCAGATGGTGATAAATGCAGCCTTTGTGTCTCTAGCTTACCTTGAAAATGTCAGATGAGGGGACACCAAGTGACTCATGAATTATTATACATGCCCAGTACCTTTGTTAGGAAGAGGCTTGCTGCCTAAATTGGGGGCACAAGTGACCTTTCCCCACTAAAGACCCACTGTTCGAGTGGGCTCAACCACCTGTTTACTCTTCCTCTCAGTAACCCCTCAAGATGAATGGAGGTTGCACAATCTCCCGGAAAGGAAACCAGATGGGCTAAATAGTCAACAGAGAGAGTTAACAACAATTCCCTGAGGTCTGGGTGGAAGATGACCCACCTCCCCCCTTCTGCTCCAGGCTTGCAAAACAAGTCCCACGGCAATAGAACTCAAACCTGGTACAATTACGTCAGCACCCGCCTTGGGCCTGCCAGACCTTGCTAAACCATTTGCCCTTTACATGACTGAAAAGGACAAGGAGGCTATGGGAGTGTTGTCCCAGATTATGGGGACATGGGACAGACCTGTGGCTTATCTCTCGAATCAGCTGGACAATGTTGCCACCGGGTGGCTGGGATGCTTATGGGCAGTTGCTGCAGTTGCCTTACTGGTCTGGGAGGCAACCAAGCTGACTTTGGGCCAAGATTTGTTCATAAAAATCCTGCATGAGGTCAACACTCTCCTGTGAGAAGACCCCCATAAATGGCTGTCAACATCCCGGATTACTCAATACCAGAGACTGTTATGTGAGAACGCCCACGTTACTACTGAGCTTTGTCAGGCCCTGAATCTGACCACTCTCTTTCTTGTGGGAGAAGGTGGGCCCTCACATGATTGCAAGGAGATATGCCAGCAGACCTGACTTGAGAGACCAGCCAATCCCGGACCCAGATTTGGTCCCGCACACCAATGGCACCAGCGGGGTGAAACAAGGACAATGACTGTCGGGATATGCAGTAGTCACGGAAGAAACCATCGTTGAGGCTAGCTCTCTGCCATCACACTGGTCCGCTCAACAGGCCGAAATATATGCTCTAATCCAGGCCCTCCAGCTGTCAAAAGGAGAAAATCTCAGAACTGCACTGCCTGCTCACAGGTCGATGCTGCCTCTCGGCACAGACAGAAGCCTCCAGGGATTCAGCTAAAAGGCACTCTGCCCTTTGAACACCTGGAAGTAGACTTCCCTGAAATGAAACCTCACTGACACTACAATTACCTGCTGGTCATAGTGTGTACATTCTCAGGATGGGTAGAAGCTTTTCCTACCCGGACTGAAAGAGCATCAAAAGAAACTATAAAACTCCTAGAGGAGAACATAGGCAAAACACTCTCCGACATAAATCACAGCAGGATCCTCTATGACCCACATCCCAGAATTTTAGAAATAAAAGCAAAAATAAACAAATGGGACCTAATGAAACTTAAAAGCTTTTGCACAGCAAAGGAAACTATAAGCAAGGTGAAAAGACAGCCCTCAGATTGGGAGAAAATAATAGCAAACGAAGCAACAGACAAAGGATTAATCTCAAAAATATACAAGCAACTCCTCCAGCTCAACTCCAGAAAAATAAATGACCCAATCAAAAAATGGGCCAAAGAACTGAACAGACATTTCTCCAAGGAAGACATACAGATGGCTAACAAACACATGAAAAGATGCTCAACATCACTCATTATCAGAGAAATGCAAATCAAAACCACAATGAGGTACCATTACACACCAGTCAGGATGGCTGCTATCCAAAAGTCTACAAGCAATAAATGCTGGAGAGGGTGTGGAGAAAAGGGAACCCTCTTACACTGTTGGTGGGATTGCAAATTAGTACAGCCACTATGGAAAACAGTGTGGAGATTTCTTAAAAAGCTGGAAATAGAACTGCCATATGACCCAGCAATCCCACTTCTGGGCATACACACCGAGGAAACCAGATCTGAAAGAGACACGTGCACCCCAATGTTCATCGCAGCACTGTTTATAATAGCCAGGACATGGAAGCAACCTAGATGCCCATCAGCAGACGAATGGATGAGGAAGCTGTGGTACATATACACCATGGAATATTACTCAGCCATTAAAAAGACTTCATTTGAATCAGTTCTAATGAGATGGATGAAACTGGAGCCCATTATACAGAGCGAAGTAAGCCAGAAAGATAAAGACCATTACAGTATACTAACACATATATATGGAATTTAGAAGATGGTAACGATAACCCTATGTGCAAAACAGAAAAAGAGACTCCTATGTATAGAACAGACTTGTGGACTCTGGGAGAAGGCGAGGGTGGGATGTTTCAAGAGAACAGCATTGAAACACGTATATTATCTAGGGTGAAACAGATCACCAGCCCAGGTTGGGTGCATGAGACAAGTGCTCGGGCCTGGTGCACTGGGAAGACCCAGAGGGATTGGGTGGAGAGGGAGGTGGGAGGGGGGACTGGGATGGGGAATACATGTAATAAAAAAAAAATTTAAAAAAAAAAAAATAATAATAATAATAATAAAAAAAGTAGCCTGGGGCCTGCTTAGACAGATAGTTCCCAGATTTGGATTTCCTACCAGCATTGGATTGGACAATGGCCCAGCTTTTGTAGCTGCTTTAGTATAACAAGTAAGCAAAACTTTAAACATCAAGTGAAAATTACATACAGCATATAGGCCTCAGAGTTCTGGGATGGTGGAAGAAACCAACCAGACACTTAAAGAGACATTCTCCAAGTGGGGCTTAGAGACTGACTGTTCCTGGACGGACTTGTTTCCGACGGCTCTGTTCAGACTAAGGATGACCCCACGGTCCCATGGCTCTTCTCCGTAGAAAATTGTGTATGGGGGGCCCCCTCCCATAGTAAAACAGGTGTCAATAAATTTGCCTCAGGTAAGGGGAGATGAGATTTCACAGCAGATGGAGCAACTGGGTGAGGTAATAAATCAGGTAACTAAGTTTGTACAAGAAAATGTGCCATTCCCCCTTGGGGAACAGATTCATGAATGTGTGCCCGGGGATCAGGTGTGGTCAAGGACTGGAAACACGACTCCTTGGCCCCACATTGGAAGGGTCCAGATACTGTTGTTCTAACCTGTCCTACTGCAGTTACAGTTGCAGGTGTCACTCCTGGATCCACCACAGGAGGGTGAAGACAGCATACCACGCAGACCTGGAGGACGCCAAGTGGACTACACAAAGGACCCCACTGATTCCCGTGAAACCAAGATCATCTTAAAGAAGAAAAAAAGATGAAGCTCTACAATCAACTGCTGCTACAAGGACTTGCTGATATCATCTTGAGACTAACCATTGTTTCAGTACGAAGAGGGACCTGTGCTATAATTAAAGTTGAATGTTGTGTATATATTCCTGATTTATCTGGCTATATATCAGCCACCCTAGATGACATGAAAGGTCAGGTAAAAGTTATGCCTGATGATAATCTTCCTTTTTGAACTTCAGTCCTATCTTGGGTGAAGGATGATTGGTGGAAAACTATATTTATCATTGTTATAGTTGCCTTGATAGTTCTGCTTTGTGGATCCTTTATTTTGCAATGTACTGTGAACTTTGTAACCCAAAGGTTGATGTCATTATCCCAAATTGGAGGTCAGAGAGTCAGGGTGCAATATATCTCTATGAATGATGTTCATACTATGAGTTAAGAGCATCAGGAACGGGGAATGAAGGAGGAAACAGACAGAACAGGCTCCATCTTGAAAGCAGGACTCCATCTTGGGCCGGACTGTGGACTTTGAGCTACATGCCCAGTACCTATGGAAATGACATACCAACTGGAAAACCAGGCCCCCTGGACAGAAGAGCCTGAGGGCTCGTACCTAGACTCTCCGTTGCCTAAAAGAATACCCTAATTATCTGTGTAACCGAATAGAATCATACATTCTATTATGCTTATTGGGGTATGACCACAGGCCTCTTGATAACTGTCCACTGTTAACTACCTAGGCTTAAGGCATATGAATCATGGGTTAACTTTGATTGTATCTTTCTTTCCCTTTGTTCAGACTAGTTTCAGGGAATTTGGGGAGGTGGGTTTGGGCACGTATACTTAGGGTATATAAGGTTTTCAGAAAAACTGGTCAGGGTCCTTGGCTAAGAGGAGACTCTGCCTTGGGCCCGCTGGTGTAATAAACTGCATTCCACTATCTGCCTTGTCCTTCTGAGTTTGTTTCCCGGAATGTGTGGCTACAATAGTAGAATCATGCTTATTTGCTCATTCCTGTCTAACTCTTTGCAATGTCATGGACTGTAGTCCACCAGGTTCCTCTGTCCATAGGGATTTTCCAGGCCAGAATACTGGAGTGGGTTGCCTTGCCCTCCTCCAGGGGATCTTTCCAACCCAGGGATCAAACCAGGTCTCCCGCATAACAGGCAGATTCTTTACCATCTGAGCTACCAGGGAAGCCCATGAATACTGGAACAGGTAGCCTATCACTTCTCCAGGGGATCTTCCTGGCCCAGGGATCAAACCTCAGTCTTCTGCACTGCAGGCGGATTCTTTACTAGTTGAGCTACCAGGACGTAGAACATTGCCTCCTATTTATGCTTAAAGATGTTATTCTTTCTTTATCCTCACATCTCCATTGTATTTATTTTAATTTCTCTTTTAGATTGTTCTAGTAGATTTACTTCTTCAGGAGTGTATACATTGTATTTAAACGGTATTGCATTTCCTCACATGTATAATTCTTGCTCAAGGAATTGTTACTCATGTGACCTGGCTTGTAGGGGGCGAGGGTGTCTCTATTTGGGGAAACTCCACTTGGTTGCCTCTGCTCGGGTACTGTTTTGAGTCCCCTGACTCTAGATAAGGCCATTTTTTATGTTTGTGGATTGATTTGAATTTTGCTACTTTCGGAATGCAGGTTCTACATGTTATGTGGTACAACAGACCTAAGGTTCCAATTATATGATTCCAGTCTGGGAGGACTAACTCTGTCTTCTTGCTGAGAACCTGGGTGAGTGGAAGGACACTCGGATTCCTGTTTGTGGATGGCAGCTTGGTCCTGGCTCCAGCCCCAGGTCCTCATTAAACGCCAGGTCTATGTCTTTTAAACAGCAGCCTCTGCAGCCCGTCTCTGGTCCTCTTGAGGGCTACATAACCTCAGCTACTGCTCTGTATCCAACACCTAAAGAATCCCCTCTTCTTGCCTTTTTAAAAATTACTATTATTTCCTTACTTTTGGTCTTAGTTGCAGCACTCAAGATCTTGCATTGTGGCCCTTGGGCTTCTCTCTAGTTGAGGGGAGCAGGCTTAGGGAAGAACGTGGGATCCTAGTTTCCTGACCAGGAATTAAACCCAGGACCTCTGCACTGGAAGGCGACTTTTTTTTTTCCCAGACTTTAAACTTTTTATGTTGTTATGGGGTATAGCCAATTAACAGTGTTGTGGTAGTTTCAGGTGAACAGTGAAGAGACTCAGCCATACATATACATGTATCCATTCTTCCTCAAAGCCCCCCTCCCAACCAGGCTCACACATAACATTGAGTTCTATGTGCTGTACAGTCCTTGTTGAATTTACTCTTTTATTAAAGTCCAAAGTTAAAATGCCTCTTCTTTGTGTGGCACCATTATTTTACCTTAAATAATACTTAAACATTCTCCAGGTGCCAATAACTAAAGACATTGGTATTTATCTATTTTTTGTTTTTTGCATGTTTAACTTACTGGCTTCAACCAGCTTTTTGGTGCAATGGGTTGATAAACTCTAGACATTTGCTCAAGTGGTAATCCAAGGTGCTCCCCACCCCAGTTTCCAGTAATAGACTCCATAGTAGATCATCATTCCATCCTGGAAAATGTAGTCTTTTTCCTTATGGGTAAAATTAAAATGTTTCATTATTTAAAATTAAACACCACAAAGTTTGACGCTTTTGAATCTTATCTATTCCTGCACTTGCTTATTTTACTTTGTTTTGTCTGCTCATGTAGACTTATTTCACCTTGCAGTTTCTAGGGCCAATTTTGACCCTATGCCAGGACCTGCTTTGAACTATGATTTTACTGCTTCCTAGCTGGGTTATCAGGACCATCACACACAGATAAGCACACAAGTCTAGGATTGTCAAGTATTGCACAGTTGCTCCAAGGTATTTGATGTTGTGGTCCCAAGTTGTGGTTATCTGGAGTTGGTTTTTGATTTTTTTTTTTCTTTCTTTCTTTCACATATGGTAATAAACATGTTTCAGTGGTATTCTCTCAAACCATCCCACTCTCACCTTCTCCCACAGAGTCCAAAAGTCTGTTCTTTACCTCTGTGTCTCTTGCTGCCTTGCATATAGGGTCATTGTTACCATCTTCCTAAATTCCATATATATGTGTTAATATACTGTATTGGTGTTTTTCTTTCTGACTTACTTCACTCTGTATAATAGCTCTAGTTTCATCTACCTCATTAGAACTGACTCAAATGTGTTCTTCTTAATGGCTGGGTAATAGTCCATTGTGTATATGTACCACAACTTTCTTATCCATTCGTCTGCTGATGGACATCTAGGTTGCTTCCCTGTCCTAGATATTGTAAACAGTGCTGTGATGAACATTGGGGTACACTTTTCTCTTTCAATTCTGGTTTCCTTGGTGTGTATGCCCAGTAGTGGGATCGCTGGGTCATATGGCAGTTCTAGTTCCAGTTTTTTAATCCCCATACTGTTCTCCATAGTGGCTGTACTAGTTTGCATTCCCACCAACAGTGTAAGAGAGTTCCCTTTTCTCCACATCCTCTCCAGCATTTATTGTTTGTAGACTTTTTCATGGCAGCCATTCTGACCAGCATGAGATGGTATCTCACTGTGGTTTTGATTTTCATTTCTCTGATAATGAGTGATGTTTCATGTGCTAGTTAGCCATCTGTATGTCTTCTTTGGAGAAATGTCTGTTTAGTTCTTTGGCCCATTTTTTGATTGGGTCGTTTACTTTTCTGGTATTGAGCTGCATGAGTTGCTTGTATATTTTGGAGATTGATTCTTCATCAGCTGCTTCATTTACTATTATTTTCTCCCATTCTGAAGGCTGTCTTTTCACCTTGCTTACAGTTTCCTTCGTTGTGCAAAAGCTTTTAAGTTTAATTAGGACCCACTTCTTCAGTTTTGTTTTTATTTCCATTACTCTGGGAGATGGGTCATAGAGAATTTTCTTAATTTCTTCTATGTCATTAACTTTCTTAGGTTTTTTATGTCTTTCTAATCTAATTTTGGTAAGGGATATTTTCATAGAAGAGCATCAGTTTTATTTGCATTTTCAAATATACTAATTATATTAGTACGTAATAGTCTCACATCTAACTATCCTTCCTCTGCATACGGGGCAAGGTTCTCCTTATCATTATTTTGTGTTGCTGTGCTTTTTCCCTCCTGTTTCTTCTTTACAGGTAGTACCACCAACCATATTTTTCAGCTATTCAAATTTTAGAGTTACAAAGTTATAGCTTTTAGAGTTACATTTTTTTGTTTGTTTTCTTAATCATTAGTTTTTGATTTTACTTTACTATCTCCTTATTCTACTTTCTTTGGAATTTATTTTACTTTTTCTAACTTCTTGAAATAGTAATACGTGAGTCCTTTTATACTTTATTTTGTTTATTTGTTTTGGTCACACAATGAGGTGTGCAAGACCTTACTTCTCCAACCAGATGTCAAACCCATGCCCCCTGTATTGAGAGTGCAGGGTCTTAACCACTGGACTGCCAGGAGAGTTCCCTTCATGTATTTTTTCTCTTTAATGGCAATTAATATAACTGGGCTTTCCAGTGAAGTAGTGGATATGCATCTTCAGTTTAACTTCCAGGATATTACACTCACTGAGATAGCTTTTGGAATTTATTTTGCATGTCTATTATATTTATTATAAATACTTTCCAAGAGACTTTAAACACAAAGGACTAGATAAGAATGCTGGGTGAGATCTGAACATGCAGAAATTGGACATGAAAGAGTGTAATAACTGAGGGAAAATTGTAAGAAATTCTCAGATATATGGAAAGATTAGGGATATTTTCTAGCTGGAATGTATGGCAATAGGGTAGTGGTAGACCTTTGGAGGGGCTCCCCAGGTGGCTCAGTGGTAAAGAACCCATCTGCAATGCAAATGCTGATGGAGAGGCAGGTTCCATCCCTGGGCCAGGAAGATCCCCTGGAGTAGGGCATGGCAACCCACTCCAGTATTTTCACCTGGAGAATCCCACAGACAGAGGAGCCTGGTGAGCCACAGTCCACAGAGTCACAAAGAGC